CCGTGCCCCCCCTTCCAGCCCGGGCTCGGAGCTGGAGCTCCCCGGCCCGGCCTGGCCTCTGCCAAGCAGGGCCTTGTGCCCGTAAACCAGTGTGGAATAACCTCCCCCTTGGGTTTATTCTCCCCTCTTCGAGTTTCTGAGCTGATTTCTGTGCACGTACGGCAACAGTTCACCAACTGGTTTGCGTGCATAAATTGCAACCGCAGTTATCTAAGAGCTGTTTCTTATTAGCCTGGACGTTGATGGTAACGCGGGGACGTCCAGAGGACCGGTCAGGATTGGGCCCCACGCAGGCAACGGGGGAAGAACAACCCCTGAGCCAAACGGCTGGCAGAGCAGGCCGAGCGGCGGCTCTCGGGAGTCGGCAGCTTCCCCGGGACGTTGCTGTGCTGTGGGTCAGGGGAGCCCAGGGACTGGAAGTCGCTTCCTACCTGACCTTAACGTTGGGGAGAAAATCCTGTCACAGCAAAGACAGAAAGAAGCCGGAATCGCTCAGTTACAAGCAAGCCTTTAATGAATCGGGCCTATCTTTAGAAGATGTTTTTTCTTAGTTCCACAGCAGGTCCTCGGTTAGGGAGATGTTGGCAACCTGCGGCAGACTCCGATAGACCGAGTTCCAGAAGTTCACGTACCGGCTTTTCAGATTCTGCTTCACGGAGTTCTGGTTTATCTTGTTGTTGATTTCCAGGTAGTTACTGGCCTCGTTGGTGTAGGGCGGCCAGGTAACGGGCACCTTGGAATACCCTTTGTTGGGATCGCTGGGGAAAAAGGAGACATAGAAGTTCAGTTTTATCAGGGCAGCCTGTGGATGCAGCAAGGTTTGCGGCGTTCGGCAGGGACCCCATGTGCTTAAGTGAGGCTTTAAGTGAGTGCAAAGAGAGAATTTGACATTGGGACAAGCAATAGCAATTCTGCCTGCTAGGAGCGACTTGCCGACCTGCAGTCTCTTCCCTTGGTCCCTGCTAGCATCGTCTCAGGCTGCAGACAGGGACTTAACTCCTGTCTGAACGCCAGAAAAAAACCTCATCATTAAGTTTAAGCAGAGGTCACAAGTTCTAAAAATGCTTCTGCTGTCCCCAGGTGTTCTCTGGATGAGGAGGACCCAAAGCAAACTCCCACCCCTGGGAGACATAGAGGCAGGCTCACAACTGAAGTACAGAGGACAGCCTGCTTTTGGGAATTGCTCCTGAAAAGTTTGTAGGCAAAAGCAGCAGGCTGAAGTGCTGCAGCAAGCCCCAAATGTGGAACCGGAATCGCTCACCCTGTCCTGGCAAAATTGGTCCAGTAAGCAATCATGGCGCTCGAGACAGTCCTGTGCTTGGGCAGGTAGCCCAGGGGGGTGGCAAAGGGTTTCCCAAACACGTACTGCAGGTCATCAGCGTGGTCTGCCCCTACCCAGCTTGGGTAGATGGGCATTCGGGATGGCTGGGAGAACAAGTAGCTGTATGTCTTGCCGTTCCTGGGGAAATAAAATAGACTTGCTAAGCAGCTGCGAGTGGAGAGCAGAGAAAGGGGTGGGGATTCATAACCACGCTCCAAATACCAGCAGAGCCAGAGATTCAGCCTTGGAAGATGCTCACATGCATCTAAGAGGTGCTCTCAGGAGAAAACATCCTCCTATCTGGTAATTTTTATCTCCCATTTCTGATTCTCACCCTAACCCTCATATCATCCAACTGCCATGTCTTGTGGCATCAAACATTGCCAGGATGAAGTCTGAAGTTTTTAAGAAGAACTTGTTTTAATGGGAATTTAAAACAAGTTTCTAGCATGACTCCCTTGCAGCATTAGAGGAATAGTGTTTGTACGAGCCACGTGTAAGTGTGTACTCAGTACCAAAAAGCCTGCCTCCTTCAAGTTCTGCCCTCCTAACGTGCTCCTCAGCCCCCTGTGCTGGAAACGCAGTGTTTCGGCCCCCTGGCAGGCTTTGGGCTCCTGCCAAGGCTGAGCTGCTCACCGGGCATTCCACAGGTGCAAATTCAGTGCCCACTGTGTGGGAATCAGGAAGATGTAGTCAGTAACCAGGTCCACCACTGTCTTCTTCATGACCTCCTGGTCCGGGCTGTTGCCCCACACTTGCGTGTAGAGATTGTATGTCGCGTTGGCTCCACGCTCGCCCCTGTCCACGGTAAGTCCTTTGACCAGATGATAGACTTCGTCCCTGAAAAGACAAGTAGTATCAGCTGATTACAGACCGGCACCCTCAAGTGGGGCAGGGCTCATGGAAATGGATCCCAGCTCCCGTTGACGTTCACATCCAACCCTGTGGTTAGCAACGGTTTGGTGGAGTAAAAGCCAGTGATTTCATTCCAGGTCGTAGATGGCAGGCATGTGCTTCCCAGCTTTCTCAGCAGAACAGCTTGGGGCCAAATTGGCCACAAGCTCCTTTTGTCCACAAAGAGGAGTCTTACAAAGCAGGCACCCAGCATGTCTGGCATGTACCTGCTCTGGACAGAGAGCATCAGGGCTGCCAAGCCTATCGCTGGTGCTGAGTTCAGGAGCACCTTAAAGGTGTATGGGGAGGCTTCCCCACTAGCTGGTTCCTGCTCTTGAAGGCTCTGGACTTGGCAACATACGTCCTAGGCACCCTGGCTTGGAGTGGCATCCTGTTTTGAAGGTAGCGCCCTGTCCACTCAGGTCTAAGTCCTTGGAGTTTGGGGGCTACATTAAAGATAAGGTTCCTCCCGTTAAGGGTTTTAAGAGCATCCTTCACTTACGCAGTGATTTTCACAAGTGGGCGGTTGATAGCAGGTAAATCAACGCCAGCAAAGATGTGTCCATCCATGTTATTGACCCCAGCAATGTAGTCAATGTCAGCAGCGTTGGCAAAGAGTTTCTCTGGCATGTCTGGGAGGAAGTCTCCATCGACGACAGGAGTGAGGGCGAGTGTGTGAACCACAGGAGCTGCAGCAGGAGACAAACCCAGAGTCTGTGAGGAGCTGAGAAAAGACAGAAGTGTGGCCTGGCATATCCCGTGACTTAAGGAACTGTAGAAAGAATAGGCTGAGGTGAATGAGAGCTTGGGCGGTGACATCAGCATGGGCAGGTTGTCACCCAGAAGCAGGGTGACCACAGGATCACATTCAGTAAACCTCATGCCTGTAGGTGGAGGAGAAGAGCAAGAGATCTGCCAGCCAAGTACCAGCAGGTATCATCAAAAATTCCTCCCCCCCCAACCCGGTCCCTTCCCAAAAAGGCCAGCCAAAGGTAGGGAAGAGCAGACTCCTCCCCATCCCATCTGGCTGTGCTCACTCATTGCCAGGACAGCCAGCTCCGGCCAGTGCAGCTGCACAGCGGTGGCTTGGCCACTCTCTGTCCTGAGCAAGGCTAAATACTGGGGCTATTTACTAGGAGCATGAGGAGAGCAGAGGGAGGAGAGTCTTCCTGGGAAACAAATCCCCACAGGCAGCAAAAGCAGAAGCGTTCCCTACCCGGTGTGAGAGTCCTACACTCCACCCAGCGACTCAAATGAAAATAGCAGGGTTGTGGTCAATTATTTTTTTTGTTTGTAAGCTGTGTTCTGGAATTGCTCTGGCTGCTTTCACAGAACAGAAAGCCCAAACAGCTGTTTCGGGGCCAAGGCAAGGCCCTTGGATAATTCCTCTGCCACCGCTGCCCATTGCACGATGAACAGCGTTCATTCAGCGCAAAGTGCACCTGCCTGCGGGAGGGCAACTGCGAGATCTGTCATTATTGTCCCCCTTCTGAAGGACACAAACACGGCTTCAACACTCCTGGCAATCGCCCCAGCGCCCCGTCAAAGGCGTGGTGAGCCCTGTGTGGGTGGGGGACCACAGCACGGTCCGGGGGACTTACAGGGCAGGTTGATCAGCTGCAGGTGGTAGGCCAGCGTCACAGCTTTGGGGTCGGAGATGCGCAGGCAGTTGGCCAAGGCAGTGGTGTTGTCTGTGGGGCAGCCCACTTTTTGTCCAAGCTGCGGGAGGAGAGAGAGAGAAACCTCCTAGCATTACCTTCCGAAGCCAGGCTTCATTACCGGCTTCATAGAGGCAGAGGAGTGGTTGGTTTTAATCTCAAAGCAGCTTGTTTCCAAAGCTCTGTGTTTGGCAGCATGGCTCCTGCCAAATCCCTTGCTCGTTATGCTCTTCTCTAGGGAATCCCTTTTTTGGTTTTTCCATTCCCTCGGGCAAGACTTGCACGTTACCTTTTTAGCCCAGGCGAGCGGGTTCTGCTGGATGGCCCAGCTGCAGAGACCGACGCCGCTCTGGCTGATGGCTCTCTTGAACAGGCCCTTGTTCTTTGGGGACAACATCTGCGGTGCAAAATAGAAACAAGGGGGGTTCAGGTACAAAATCCTGAAGAGACCATCGCCTGCCAGACCTGGCTGATCCCCTCACAGCTTGTGCAGCAGGCCCGGGGAAGCTGCCAGCTCTCGTGCTATTTAACAGTCTCAGCAGTTAAAGTTAAAAGGTGATATCGTGAGAAGAGGAGCAGAGTAGGGGGACATGGCAAGAAAATGCTATTTCACCAGAGGTCCTGAAAGCGAGGACATGTGCCTGCAGCAGTGGGGCTGATTAAACCGAAGAAGGAGGAGTGGCTACAAAGCGAAGAGGCTGAGCATTGCTGTCCCCGGGCAGAAGAGGATGTTAATCAGGTGGCACGTGTGGAGGAAAGTGGCAGAGTACCAAGGGGACCATCTCTCCCATTTACAGAGAAGAGAAGTGGCTCTGGTGGGGTCCGACAAGGAAAACACACCTGCAGGGAGACACTGGCACCACCGGCTGATTCCCCAAAGATGGTGATGTTTTCTGGGTCACCCCCAAAGGCCTTGATATTCCTCTTCACCCAGGCAATAGCCATGTGCTGGTCCTTCAGCCCATAGTTCCCTGAACAACAGAGAGCACCCACCATTGAGGAAGGGCACAGCAAAGCTGATAAGCTGGGGACCCGTGACAGGGTCCCCTGAAGAGGGAGCAGCTACGGTACCTGGCAAGTTTGCATCTCCGGTGCTCAGGAAGCCCAGGGGCCCCAGGCGGTAGTTGATGGTCACCACGATCACGTTGCCCCGCACGGCGATCTCCTCGCCGTCGTAGAGGTAGTTATTGAGGAAGTTGGCTCCCTGGCTCCCTCCCACAAGGAAGGCGCCGCCGTAGATCCAGATCATCACTGGCATGTTGGTAGAGACTGGCAGATGAGGAAGAAAAGCAGTGTGAGCCACAACATAGCCAGAAGGTGCTGCCCATCCATCCCCATACCCGCTCGCTGAGCATCGCTCCACCTGGGCATGAACAGACATGATGCTTTGCAATAGCCTATGGCCAAGAAAGTCCACGCTCTGTAGAAGAGGCTGAAACTCCCAACAGGCTGCAGCTGAGGGACACTGGCTAACATGGCTCCCACCTTTCCTTCTGAAAATCAGTGCTCCTGCAGTTGCCCGCTATGGGAACACAGCTGCTGAGAGATGCTCCAGAGCAATTTGTCCACAAAAAGCAACTGAGAATCTCCTCCCCAGGTCTCTGCCAAGCACATACCCTGTCTCTTCCCTTGAGGGATCCAGATGTTCAGATAGAGACAGTCCTCGCTCCCACGGACATCAGTTTGTGTAAGCGTCATCTGCATGCAGCGATTTTTGAATTTTTTTGCCTGCAATGTTCCTGAGAGGAGAGAGGGAAGACAGCAGGTCCTAGTTAGAGGCATCAACTCCACCCTTTGGTTGCAAACTGTCTGCCCATCCATCCTCTCCTCTGTGAGTCCAGTGCAGAGGCAGCAAACCCTCCCCAGCCACTGTGACCAGTCTGAGGGAGTGACAAAGTGGGACCCTTTCCTGTGTTAACTAGCTCTGGACAGCCGAGGCATGGGGAGGGGAGATAGAGGTGCCATGCTTCGGTTTCGTTACTTCATGTGGTTACTTGAGTTGCTTGGGAACACTTAGACACAGACTCTCATACTCACCATGAGGCTAAGAGCTTTTTCTTGGTGCTGCTTAGTAGGTGAAAGCAGGCAACAAAATCTTTGGCTTGTCAAGAATGGACTAAAGAGAGAGAAGCGAAAATAAAACCCCAAACCAAAGGCATTCAAAATCTCGATCTTACCATCCCAGCCAGGATGAGGTTGGGGGTCTTCCAGAGTCTTTGGAGGGGCAGCAAAGGGGATCCCTCTGAAGATGTCGATGTAGTCCCCAAAGAGTCCCAGTCTTTTACTCTCGCCTTCCACAAAACCGCCCTCGACGTGCACCACACCCAGCTGCATGTGGTACCATTGAGAAGAGAAAATCCATTGCACAGTGCTTCATGCCTCTGGCTTCCCACGTTGCCAGCACCCACACCTTGCCCTGCCCGGTCTCCCAGATGGACCCCCTCACAGCCCGCCTTCCCCAGCCATCCCTTTGGACCTTTGTGGAAAGCCCACAGGTAGCTGCCGCTGGAGATGTGCCCGTGCAGATGTCCTGCAGGCTGCCCTTTGGAGCAGACAGGCAGCAGCAATTCCCCTGCACTCCCAAAGATAAAACAGCAGAAGGTGAGGACCTTCAGCCTTAAGATGTAAACCAGGCCAGACCTGACACAGAACTGTGCAGGAACTTTCGGAAGAATGTTGGCGAGAGCTTTTGCCATGTTTAGGGCAGGAAAACATCCTGCCTTGGCCGTCACAGTCTGCAGGCCCTCTTTCATGGGCTCCAGACCAGACGTCGCAGGAGTTTGCTCATTCAGACAGGAACGGGCAAAATGTCTTGCAAAGCCATAAGAAGTGCATTTTTACTTACGGTTGCAGCCCGTGCTGCCCCGAGGTAGGAGCACAAGGCAAAGCACAGGATCTCCCAGTGAGCCATGGTGAGTGCACACCTGAGGAGCCATTCCCCAAATGGAGGCGTACGTATATATAGCTAGGAGTGCAGCTGCGTGTCAATGCCGTGACCCAGTCTTGGCTCTAAGGTAAACCAGGGGAGGCTCTACACATTTGTCCTTCAGTAGGCCGAGGCCAAACCATGGCTGAGGTAGACTGGCGTCACTGTGTGAGAGCCCTGCAGATGTTGCTTTTGTGGTCTAGAGGCCAAACCTAAGGAAGTATCTCCATCTAACAAAACTCCAGAGAACATGAAAAATGCTGAAGCCTTGAGAAGCCTCACACAAGCACAGGAGGCTGAAATCATATTAAACCATGCGTTAGAGCATATTATCGGCAACTAATGAGAAACCTTGCACTCGTAACACACTGGGGAATGCACAACACTCGGAAAATGCCAGCAGATCCTTAATTTCTGTGACTGGGTGGTAACAAGGCAGCCAGCAATGGCAGACTAATGAGTGGCCAGCCTCTGTGGACCTGAAGCTCTGCCCCATTGCCTGCTTCCTTCCGTCCTTGCTAACCACTGGGGAAGTCAAAACGGAATTGAGAAGTGCATCAGCTAGGGAGGACAACATACACTACGTCGCGCAGAAGGGAACTATTCACTGCCAGAAAGTGTGTTTTCCTGCTGGCTTTATTTCCGCAAGATCACCAGCGAGGCTCGATGCTGAAGTCACGGCACAGTATTTTCATTCCCCTTAGACAAGCAGAAGGGCAGCACCTGCCTTCGGGACTCCAGCAGCACTAGAGCGCTCCCCCAGCACCTCCCCAGGCACCTTTTCTGTTTTCCACGTGGCCACCAACCTGGCCAAGGTGCACTTCCCACACATGGAGAGATTTGGGAGCGCAGCTTCTCCTCTTTTTCTGGCGTATTACCAGCTGGTTTGGGTTCTGGGCTCTTTCCTGGGAGTTTGTTGAGCTTGCTTGAGGGCTTATTAGCCAGCAATTACGAAAATGTAGGCACTGGCTCCCAAATGGCCCGCCAGCAGGCAGAGCAGTCAGTGCAGACAGGTCATCGGCATCTTACTGCAAGTTCTGCTTCCCCACATCCTGGGCATGGTGGCTGGACCCTCAGCACTTGAGGAACAAGAGCAGAGACGATTCTGTCCAACGGCAGACAGACTGCTTGCCGAGTTCAAACGTAGTCCAGAATTTCTGTCTCCATTTCATTTTCACTCCCATCAGAAGGCTTGAAGTCCTCTTCCTCCTCCTCTTCGTCATCCTCATCCTCTCCAGACTCATATGCCAGCTGCTCTTTGCCATCTTCACTGCTTGTTTAACCAAAGAAAGCCCTTCTGCTGGCACCGCGTACCTGGCTTCTTGACAGTGATGGGCAGACTGTAGTTATACGTGCTGCGTTTTGCTTTCACAGGCATATCGTTAGGGGCATAACCTAGAGGTGAAAAAAGAAAACCAATAATGAACGGAGGGCAAGCACCCTGCAGAATATCCCTAGCTCAGTAACAGAAGCGCTGGACGGGTGTGGAAAGGGCAGGGCGGTCTTCGGGATATGCTGACTTCAGCAAGGTGGGGAGGGGAGAGCTGTCAGACCAACAAAACCCTTTAACCTGGAAAGAGGGGGAGATGTGATCTGATGGTAATGACTGGGTGCCAGCTCTGTCATGGACTTATTAGATGACGTCAGAAAGTCCTTTCCCTCAACTTGCCCTCTGCAAAATCAGAGCACGGGAACCCTACGTCCCAAGGTCTGAGACCTAGCGTCCTGCACAAGATGTACAGAACAAGGAATACCCAGGTGATGCTCCCTTGCTCTGCCTCCTAGCAGCCTCGGACAGGCACGAGGGCAGATATATAGTTACCATGTAATAGGCCAAATACAGCAAGAGAAGTTTCAGCTTGTCCGGGTGGACACTGATATTGGCTTTTACTGCATTCCGAGACCAGACAGGACGGACCTCAAAGAGCTAAAATAATACAGAAACAACCATGGAACTGAACACAGCGGTCTCAGTGGCGTCTACTGAGACTTGTTATATCAGTTGGACTTCGGATTTGGCCGTTGTTATCCTCAGAAAAACAGACAATGTCTGTCCAGCAGCCAGTCTACTCTCCAAAAGGGCTGGAGAGCTCTGCAGAAGGCAAAGTGCAAAGTTCATTTTCAGAACACGGGCAACTCTGAGGAAGACAATTTCAGAGCCCTGGGTGGCATTTCAGATATGTGCTGCTCACTCCCTTTCCTGACGTGACATTGTCATGCCTTGACAAATTTTTATGCCATCCATCATTTCAAGGGGAGCTGCAGCTGTTCAGGACACCAAATATTCTTGTATCCCTGGCAGAATATGCCAGTACAGCCCTTCTCATTTGATAGATTAGAGAACAGAAAAAGCAAATGCATGTTTTGCTAAGGGCACAAAGGACAGCTGATATCAAACTGGAGTGGAAACCAAAAGCCTGGATTTGGGTTCCTGGCCTAACTACACAGGCCCATATCTCACTCGTTAACAAGGTTAAACAGGAAATACAATCACAAAACCTTCAGAGAAGCCAGCAGTACTTACAACGACAACAATTTTTGGCGAGGTCTGCATGCCACAGTATAGTGCTCAGCCCAGCTCAGGAGTAAGGCACGTACCTTTCTCAGCTCTTCCTCCACCTTTTTGTCCACAGGATTGGTGCACACTTTCTTCCAGGTCTGTACAGCAGCATCCAGGGGTTTAGTTGGGATTTCCTCATCATCAAAGTTCACAAAGATAGCGTTGTGCGGGCGACGGGCCCTGCTGAGGCCAATCAGGTTCTCACCAGACACCTGGGGATTGTTGTATCCCTCCCTAAGAAAGAGGGAAAGGATCGGGTTTGATTTCTGCCTGTGGCACACACGGACTCGGAGCTTTCACGGGAACATGCGAAAATGGAAGTTTGCGCTCCAGATTCCGGGAGAGAAGGGACTCAGCCATGTGAGCAATGGGTTGGTTTACCTTGGGGCCCACCTCCCTAGGGATTTTGGAATCACATATCGCGACACCATTGAGGAAAGAAATTTTGAATGGAAAAAACCCTGCAAAGCTACGTCCAGTTGCACAGTGACAGAGGTCCCCTGTACCGTCTGGCAGAAAACCCTCAGGCAGTTGGCTGCTGATTTGTATGAAATGTATTTGCAGCAGAAAAGGCTTCACCCTCTGCATTTGCTCTACTGTAATTACTGCAGCTCAGTAGGGTACAGGGACAAGGCAAGATGGAAATGCAGTTAAGATAATTTTTTGTTTTTTAAGCGCCGATGAAGGACTACAGTGAGAAAACGAAAGATGTTTCTCGTGGGAGATCTCGCAGATTGTTCTTCTGGCAAAACCAGCCGGGGGCCAGGAGGGAACAGGTCCGGCGAGTGCGGTCACAGGAACATATGGCATCGACTCCGGCACAGTCCCCCCTCGGCTCCAGCCCACTGGAAGCAGGCAGAAAGCCAGGCTCACTGCACCCCACACTGCGCGTAGCGTGCTGGGGGAGGCAGTCATCTTCACCAGACCACCAGCTCCCCTCACCTGGCAAGTCCGCAAGCGGACTTTTGCCGAGGTTTCTGCTGTCCAGGCAGTTTTTCAAGCGTGCCTGCCTCTGTTGTGCCAAATCAAGAGAGATAAAACAGAACAAGGCAGCAGCTTAAACAGGTGAAGGCCTCCATCCCATCTCCGCCCTATGCAACCAACCTCCCCCCGTCCCTGAGCTCCCCCTTTCCGTGGGTACCCTGTGCACAGCAGCCGGGGCGTGCGGGACAGCTCCAGCACAGCTGAGGCCCCACTCCCCCCACCACCATGGAGTCCTTGAGTCAGGGTTGGTGGCATGTGTGCGTGTTTGTGTGTTAGTGTTACAGCCGCTGCTGTTCCTCCTGCTCGTCCCAGCAGGGTGGGCAACGGGTGTGTTCATTCCATGAGAGCTCCAGGATGGGGCAGAAGCAGAACCACCAGCCCCAAGTACACGCTAGTCATGAGCCAGCCTCCCTCCCCAAAGCGATAAGCCTGGCTTAGAAATTGTGATTAAAAAAAAATATATATATATATTCGCCGTTTTCAGCCTGTAGGGTGCAGTAGTACCCCGTTTTCAGCGTGAAAACTGTAATTCCCTTGGCTCTGGCACTCTAGCTCTAAGATCACACCTGATTATTGTTAGACTTGAGAGGAAACCCCCAAACGTGTGAGAGCAGGTGGCAGCACTGCACAGGGAAATGCTTTAAAAGGAGACCACCATGGTGTTATTCACACATGGTTTAGGTGGCATTAACTCCCTGGGTGAGCTTGAGAGGAGGTCCTCCAGCTTGTGCTGTGGTTGCTTCTTCCTTTGTCTTTCCTAGGGAAGAGCGAGTAGGCACTGTAAGTACGTACAGCAAAACCCTGCTCCCTCTGAGAGCCTTTGGAGACAGGGCAAGGAGGTTTTGTGAGCTGTAAGTTGTTGGCGAGATGAATACGTAAACATTCACTGTACAAACCCATAGCAAGGTAAGTCAGTCCTGCTTAGCTGTGCTTTAGTGTCAAAACATTGATCTCTGTGCTGGTTAGTGAGGTAAATCAGGAAGAGTGTAAAAGCAGTAAGAGACCAAAATAGGAGCTTCAGTTTATCCATCCACAATATGCGTACACACAGTTCCCAAGCTCCTCTTCTTTTTGTGCTTATTCTTTGTGTTGCATTTAATCTAGCGGAAGGCTGTCTGTATCTCTGTCTCACAGATGTCAGAGGACCCACTGGGCTGAGAGATTCCGCAAACTCAACATGAGCTCTCCGTAAATTGCAAACATTCTTATTTTCATCAGGATTTCATGGTATTCTTGGAAGACTGGGCTCTGACTGGAGTGTCTGTGCTGAATGCCATTAGGGGAAATACTGCATCTCCCAGCTAAGGTCTGGCTGAAGTTTCTTCTTTACTTTCTATTCTATAGACTGTATACCATGAGCTGTTAACCTGATGCTGTGTACCACCTCAGGAGTTACAGCAGGAAACAGAATGTTTATGGAAGAGGGCTATAATATATAAATGTGATACAGTGGCCAAACCTGTCAGAAGTTAAAACATTATTTCTAACTGCCCTCTGCCATGCCTTAGATACCAAATGACACAGAACCTTTTTCAGAAACTGTGATGTTCAAAATGCCTGATAATGGGCTTCCAAACTATTGAAAATCTTGGTTATGGAGAGGAGAAACTCCTTCTGGAACTAGATTGCTTGGTGGAACTTTGTTCCAGTGTAAACCAGAATGGACTATTCAGCTCTCAGCTACACCCGTAAAAATCCCTATCAGCCCTGTGCAATGCCCAGATAGCGGAGGGCAGAATATGCTTCATTTCCTTCCACATTGTGTTCTCTTTTATTGCTAGCAATGTTTCATGGTGTAGACTCCAAATTACAGCCTTATTTTTCACATTATTATTGCCCCTCCTCTAAAACAAGTCTTTGCCAGGACTTTCAGTCCTTGGATTGTGCGACTTCACCAGCTTTTATCTCCCTCCTTTGAGCCGCAGTTTTTCCCCGCTCATCTTTGTAATCTGACATTGTGATTTGTTCACTTGCGTGCTTGTTTTTCTCCTCGAAGAAGATTTGCTGAATCATTGGGGAGGAGGCAAGAGCTCTAGAGGCAGCTGGTGGCCTGTGATAAAACCACGGCCGCATCCAGTCTGCAGGGTTTGCAGATGATAGCCCTTCAGCTGAAGGCCTGAGTCACATTCCCTTCCGAGCTAAGATTGCTGGGGACTTTGGGATTGAGGAAGTGGGGCCAAGGAGGTGGTGCCCCCAAAATATAAATTATTGATCCTGACAACCACAAGGTTTGTTGTATCTCCTGCAAAATTTATAATGATGCTGTGAGAGAACTTGCAGACTAGGGGGTAAATCCTGCCAACTGTTGTATATTGTGCCCAATTTTCTTAATGCATAGTTAAGAAAATAGGGATTTGGCTTGAAATAGGTCATGGTATATAGTGGCTGCTTTCAGACATGCAGTAGCAAGGTGTAGTGCGAGTAAAGATGTGCCAGGGCTCCAAGGCATTCATGTGCCTGTTTATTTGGAGAGGATACACCAAATTCCACTGGTACAACTTATGCAGCTGTCTTCATCACAACGGGTCTGAATTTTTCCCACTGCCTAATGATCGACATAAGAGCTGGGAGCTAAAATGCCTTGGTTGACTTCTTAGAAGGTCTTTCACTCACTCTCTGTATGACCTTGAGTTACTTTCTCTCTCCCTGGCTCTTGGTTTCCTTGCAGTAAAACAGGGATAAGATGTTTCCATCTTTGTGGAGCATTTTGAAATCTTTAGGCAGAATGTGCTATTTAAATGCAAAGTATCAATGATATTTCTGAGTCCTCCCACACCACTGTTGTGACGCTATGCAGCAGGCACACAGACATGGCTCTCTGACTTTCTAGCTAATCGTTTCCTTAAATTCCAGTTAAGATGGCAAACCTAAGCTGTCCCACGTGCACTCGCTCTGAAACCAAAGACCTTCTCATGCTCTGTCAGCTCTGCCCTTAATGTAAGGCACTAGAAAATTAGTTTTGTGCGTGTTTTTATAAGTATCTTCCAGAAATCAGAAATAAAATCTCACCAATAGTATATGATACTTTTCCTAAGAACAGAGTTTTAACTTGGGATGTTCTACTTAAAAGTTATACTTCAAGGAGGTAAGATAGAAAGTTGGTTAAGCAACAAGACTGGAAGTCCAGGTGGCCTGAGTTCCATTTCTAGTTGTCCTACTCAAATTTTGGCAAATATTTTAAAGAGAAAAATGCATATCAGGTTGGCAGATCACAACGCAGAGACTTTGCTTTGATGCTTTATGCATTTTCTGTGGGATTTTTCACAATGCTGGGTGCTGTTCCAGTGTAAGATTACTGTGCGTGTGCAGCAATTCCACCTTGCTCTTATCTGTAGATCTCAGAGCATGTCCATGTTATCCCGACTTTGCAGGTGGGAACCATGAGATGGAGAGAGGGATAGTGACTGGCTCAGATCAGCTGATGACGGCAAAGCCAGGAATACAATCCTTCCTCTTTGAGCCTCATATTTAGCATTCTCCACCATGCTACGATATCAGAAAATGCAGCTGCAGTTCCTGGACTCTCTTTTCCAGGTGCTGTCACACCTGGGTGTCCACTGAGCCTGATTGATTTACAGTCAAGCTACTACAGGCTGGATATAAATAAGGAGCTGGGGCAGAGAAGTCTGACTGACACGCTGGTTCACCATGCTCACACTCAGGATGGGGCCCTTTCAAGAACAGGAATGCTCCATCATCTCTGACTTCCCCTTCCCCAACTGAGACAAGAGATAACTTCTATTTTTTTAAAGAGAAGAAACCAGCAGGCTTGACCACTGCCAAAATTCCCACTGAAGCTCCTAATATAGAAGGGTCTGGAATGTAAGATAAAGTCCCATTGCTTTAAAATTATTCAAAAGGAAGGCAGAATCAATGGGGTAGGGTTTTTTAACTCCTCATTCTTCATGACAAAGCCTTGAACCTCAGAATTGTGTTGGCCAGTGCTGAATGTGGCTGTCGTACTTAGAACTTGCTTAGGAGCCCTTGATGCATGGAGGGATTAAATGGCTTAGAGGTTGCTTGTGGCCTGGAGAAGAGTAGATTATGGGTTGGAGCAGAAACAGGTGTGAGAAATTTGGCCTGAGAGTGGTGCAGAAACCACAGGGGTGTGACTCATCTCATGTCACTGTAGATGTCTACAGATACTAGGCTCCCTTTCTCTTCAGTGAGAGAAGTAGGTGTGTTGAAGGCGTGACTTCTGTCCTGTCTTAGATACGTGCTTCAGGAGGAGGTAAAGCGCTCCCTAGATACGTTACTTACCAGAAAGGGAGCCTTTGAGTGACTGGTTCACATTGGAGATATCCTGGCCTACATCGCTGCTGCAGAAGGTTTCCTGCCTCATATCCCATGGAGGGCTTGGGACAGCACTTGCATCCAGGCAGCCAAGTGTGAACACATCCTCCCGGCACAGGGTCAGGGCTTGCACTGGGGCCAGCTCTCACTAAAA